ATTTTAGAGCGAGAGCATTCTTATCTAAAGTTTTTTCAATTAGGTTATGCGCATTATCAACTTCTTGCACAAGAGAACAACCTTTTTCTAAACTTTTTTTTGTGTAATTGTCTTTATCTTTGTATTTTCTAGTGTAAAACCTTTTAAAACAAAAGCAATTATTGAATTTATTTTTTGTGGTACATATGAGTCAGACCAAAGAATGGTTTCTGTCACATTTGGATGTTCTAAAACCTTTACCAATGCTGATGCATTACATATAGCATCATGCAATTGTTGCAAAAAAAATGAACTCTAGCTTGAGAAATTCATAGAAAAAACATTTTTCATTTCAATTAAAAACATTTTACAAGTTCTGTGAATATAATGTCACCATTTTCCAAAAAATATTGATAAGAATACTTTCTTTTGCTGTTATCTAAGCATAAAAAACATTTTTGCTAATATCATCTAACTCAAGAAATGTTTGAACAAAAGTTTTCTGTTTTCTGGTTTTTCCAGTATATTTTCTTGTGAATTTTAGATTTACAAGAAAATATACAATTTAATTTATTCTTATCATTTGTATCACCACAAAAATGACCATTAATGACTTCTTTCCTAATACTAGATGTCATTAACCTTTATTAAGCTTAAGTAAATATTGCTTCTAATTTCCATTTCTATCATATGTGACTAACACCATGTATCTGATCATCATCTCAGTTTTTTCAAAATGCTGGACACCATTACCTTATTAGCTTATATTTTTTTATTGTTTTTACATTCTAAATTCAGCTCCATCAAACTTATTTAACTTCCATAACAAAACTGACCTTACTTATTTTTCCACCAGTATTTATTTTAATCTCATTTTTGACTCTGTATTTACCAGAGTGCTTTTTCTACATAAAAAATCAATAGTATTAAGGACACCTTGCATATTGTACAAACAATATAGTTTATCTATTCTCTTTCTACACGCTCCGCCTAGCCACTTTCCTGTATTTTCTGCAATGTTTATTTTGAGCTATTTTTCTTCCCTTCCATCTTTCCAACAATTAACTCTTTGTAGTAATTCTTCTGTCTTTTTGTTCAAGCTGAAATAATCTGAATTAAGTAGGTCTCGTCGTATACCAATTTGGAACTTTTTAGAGAGTTTCGAAGACAGTAATAATAAACAAAGGAGTAAGTAAAGTACTATGATAAGAACTATGATGGACCATAAAAACCATATTCTCAATATTTTGTTTTAAATGCTGTTGTGACATTTTCCTATATTAGTTAAAAGTTTATATTTTAAAAATGAAAAAAATAGAAAATTAAATAAAAGGGGTCATCCATAAAGTACGAACACACATAGGGGGAGGGGGGAGGTCTTCAAAAAGCATATGAAAGCGTATGGGAAGGGTTCAATTTAAAAGTACGTACATCAATTTTGTAATTTATCACAATTAAGCAGCTAATCAATAGAAAAGTTAAAATTCTGACTAAAGATCAGTAATAAATGTTGCAGATTAATGATGAAAGTTTTGCCAACATAAAATGATGTTTAGAGAGTACAGTGTGTAGTTTCCCTCAATGCACACACATGCATGGGGGCCTGCAGGATTTTTTGATGTTCCAGATAGGACACTTTCACACATTGTGCAAACTCCAAACTTAAGTATGTTTACATCTATGCCAAATTAGAAAATCTTGCAAAAAATTAAGAAGGTGGAGGTCTGGGAGCATAAAAGCTTTAAAACGTCCCCCCCAAAAAAAAAAAAAAACAAGTGAGGGGGTATAAATTTTGTATGGTCATAATTTTTGTAATTTACTATATTTTTCTAAGAAATTTAAAATCTATTAATAACTTTAAATTTAGTTTTAGATGATAAAGTTGAAATTTTACTACATTAGTGACCTCATGCTTAGGCTGGGAGAGGGGGCAAGCGTTTTAGGGTTTTTTGTTCCCAAGCCTCCACCATATCAATTTTAAGCAAGACTTCCTCATATGGCATAGTTATACATAAGTTTTAGAACTTGCACAAATTTCATAAGTATGTCTTTGGCATAGGCATACTTATGTTTGGAGCTTGTGCAAGTTCCAAACTTGAGTATACTTATGCCAAATGTGAGTCTATCAGAAGTCTATCAAAAAAAGTGTCCTATCTAGAACATCAAAAAAACCTGCGGGTGCCCATGCACACATGCCACCCCTATATACAGGCCCTGAGTAAAATTTATTTCAGGCAAACTATTTTTCAAGTCGATAAAAAACAAGTTTTAGCAGTGTTATTTGAGTCTCAAAATCTCCCAAGTTTTATGGCTAAATTTTTGCAAAAATAAAAAATTCCTTAAATTAGCAAAAGGGTACAAAACTTTCTGCCTCTCTACCCCTCCCCCCAAAATAAGGGGTACAGTTAGCATAACCTCGGCACTGAGTTTTAGGCTTTGTTTTTAATATTACTGATCTCGCGTAGGACTCGTTTTTTACGGACTTACTAAATAGGGGTGCCTGAAAAAAACGTCTTCCTTAAGTATAGTTTACTTTTTTTTGATTCGTTATTAAAACAAAAACGACTTCAGTACGACTCTGCAGCCAACAGCATCAAACACTCGACCAAGCGTACACATCAAGTAAATGTAGTTTAACTTTATTAAAATTAATATATGCATATATATTTGAAGACGTTTTTTAAATTTGGATCCTGTGTTGCAAACAAAGAGCTTCTGGGTCACATAAAGTATCCAAGGTACCTCCTCCACCTTTTTTTTTTCATAAAATTTTTTATTGAAAAAAAAAGTTTGGGAGCGGGTGTTTAACGAATGTATGTACTTTTTAAGGGAGGGGGGAAGAATTAGAAGTACGCATGGCAACAGGGGGTAGAGAAGAATGGTCAAATTTCAAAATGTTAGGTGTACATACTTTATGGGCGACCCTAAAGTCAAAAAACCAATTAAAATCAAAAAGTTGATTTTTTTGATTTATTTATTTTAAAATTATGATTTTTATCAAGATTGTCAGTTAAAGGGATTCCGACGAGACAAGTTATGTTTTTCAGTAAATAGACTGCTTTATATATGATTGGCAATATATAAATTAGTTATATATAAATAGTTCTTTCTAAAATCTGTCAAACAATTATATTTAATAATAAACTACATTTATTTTCTTTTTTAAAAAATATCACCATCCATCGTTCCATACAAATCATTTAGAATTATATCTTTATGAACAATTGAAATGCAATGATCAGATGTTAACTGAACACCCACATCCCTAACTTTTTTTTCTTACTGACCTGATTACTACTCATGCTTACATTTTCTTGATACTTTTGATAATTAATCTTTAATTTTGCTCCTTTTCCACCAATTTAGTTTATCAGATAAGTAATATGTGTTTTGGAAAATAAGCATAATTTTGTGTTATTATCTCATTGCATATAAATATTATAAGGTTTTTCTTTCAATATTTCTAATACAAAACTCTTACCTGCTATACAATCTCGCAAAAGCCATTTTTTGCTGCTCTGAATGATCTATTTACTTTTTTACATACAATGAGCTCTTCATTTCTCTGAACATTTTTCAAAACCAAAAACTATTAATTCTTATTTCTTATTCACCATGAATATTATTGGTTTAAAATTTTTGGAATATTATTGTCTAGGTTTAAAATTCTTGGAATTCACAATTGAAGTTAAATGACAAACCTTGATAATTTTTTTAGTTTTTTTAAGGTTTTATATCATTTTATTTTATGCAATATGGATTTCATGCAATATGGATTTTAATCAAAATAAAAAGATTGTGTTTAAGTAAGGAAACTAATATTCTTGTTGATGAACTGAAAAGAATATAGGAAAGTCAGGGAAATTCAGTGATTTTAAAATGTTTAACTCAGGGGAAAGCGTTCTTTACTCAGGGAAAAATCAGGGTAAAACTTTTAAATATAGATTATATGTGTGAGACAGGTATTGTGAATGACACTAATATTATTTCCAAATTTAATTATTAAACTCACGTCAGTATATTGTTACATCGTTGTCCAAATCCAACTTGAATTTAGACAATCCTGACTAAACAAGTTGAATGGTTTTTTTGTTTATATGCTTCTATTGACATGAATCATTCCAAGTGATCAAAAACCATTCAAACCATGCAAATTCAGATTCATGACAGATTTTATGCAATATGGATTTAATATAACTAATAGAAAAATGACCTTCTTCTTCGATTCTTGCTCAATAATAGCAATAAAGTTACCATAAGTCTGTCATAAATTAATCCCTCTTATTTTTGGACTTTTTAACCAAGTCTAACTACCAGATTAAAATTTTTTCAAGCAGAACTCTATTTGGTTTTTCGTTAAAGCTTAGGCCATCAGCTTCCATTTTCAAAGTTTATGTTTTTTTCTGTTAAGTAATTGATGATATTAGTAATATTTATATAACAAACAGTTATTATTTGTTACATAAAAACTAAAGAAAAGTATTTGTTAATAATTATTGTTTAAAATATAATTTTTTAAAGAAAATTATATGTTAAACAATAATTATTAACAAATATCTAACAATATTTTAGTTTATTATTAATGTTAATAATAAATAGATATTATTATAATCTTAATGTTAATAATTAGAATAGAAACCTGATTAGACATTAGTTGAAAAGCTTAAAGTATTTTCCAGAGTTTTTAAGCAAGACTTGCTGTAACAACAGATGTTAGTAACTTTTATCAGTTAGTAGATATTTATAAATAGGGTAATATCCGGTTGTTATTTAGCAAACAGCTTATGGAATAAGCGTAACTTGTATTCTTTGATTATATGCCTGAGGTTTTCTTCTCTTTTTCAAAGTTAAATTTTTTTCAAGAAAAAATCTCTTAAAAATAAAAGCTATTATACTTGCATTTTAAATATCATAATAAGTTTTTAAATATTATAATAGTATCTTTGATCTTTTAAAGTTTTAAATTTTCTTTTTTACTTAAAACATAACAGCTATTTTATTTATTGTTTTTCAATTTTTAGAAAATAATCAGCGAAAAATGCATACAAAATGACAATTATGAAAAGGTACTTTATGCTTTACATTTTTTATTAATGAAAGGTTTTAACAATCTTTTTTTAAATTTTATCAACTATCTAATAATTATAAAAGTTATATACAAGTTTATGTATAATCTATAAAAAATTTTATACCACATTTGGTAGCATGTGAAAAACTGCCTAAACCACACAAAAACATGTACTTTAAACTAAAGATAACATAAGCAAATTAAATAATTTTGTGTGTATATATATGCATGCATACATACATACATACATACATACATACATACATACATACATACATACATACATACGTACATACATACATCAGGGGCTATTCTAGACTGTTTCGAAGGCAAAATTTGAGGTTTTGCCATAAAAACTTAAAAAAACATTTAAAAACTTGTTTTTTTACGTGTGTTTTTTTGTTTTTACAGCAAATATCGCAAAAAAAATATCGCCCTGTACATGCATACATACATACATTAACCCTCGGAATTAGGAAAAATGAGGTCGGCAAATTATTGCCGACCTCAATCTTTTTTGTCAATTTTTTGTCGACCTCAAACATTTTCAGGTCGCCAGTTAGGTCGGCATTGCCGAATGCCGACCCTTATTACCAGGGTTGCATACATACATACATACATACATATTTTATTTTTATTTTTATATTTTATGTTAATTCACCTTCTCAAGGCCAAGAAGGTCACTACAAATAAGGAGGCTACTTACTTACAAACAAGACTGCTACATGGTTAAACAAGTTGAGTGTGGTACTACCAAGGACGTGGTGGGGGAACAAACTCAGAATTTCTACCTTTGAAGCAAGCGCTCTACCGCTACACCACTACGACATACCACATACCAACCTTTAAAAATAATTAAAAAATCACTTCCTTTACTTTTATTGTAGCTTTACCATTAGGAGGTGTATACAATCCCTTGAGAAACAATAGCATGAAAAAAAAAGAATAGAACTATTAAATATCAATGTAGAATGTTTTTTAAGGTTAAAGAAATGATTGAGTATGCCTTCAATGAATGTCCTAAAAAATGTATTAGTGGCCATTTCAAATGTGAAGAGATAAAAAGACATGTGGAGCAAAAAGTTTGTTCTAATCAGCCAGTAGATAATAATGCTAACGAAGAAAATTCGCTGAGAAAGGTGGTTTTTTTTCATTCGCTTAGTTGCAAATATTTAAGAAACTGCAAAATTCCAAAATGTGTATCTATCAAGTAATTTTTTCTATAGTTTTATTTCTTATGTGAATGTATATTATTAATTAATGACAAAAAATTTAAAATTTTTTTGATCAAATTATATTTATCTTTCAGAGTGTTTAAATTATAATATATTTTTTGAAGAGTATAGTTATCAATCTAAATTTTTATATTGCTCAAATAGGGTAAATAACTACAATGTATATAACAGGGTAAACAACTACAATGTGTATAATGGGGTATATAACTACTAAGGTTATTATTAACAAAGAACCCATATCTGGCAACAACATTAGCATTTCTTATTTTTTCCCATTATTTCCTCATTTCTACCACTTAGGTGTTACATGTAATATTAAACATCAGCCCCAATTGTTTATCTTTATATATAAACCTGTGATCAGGTTAGTAGTTATAACAGGGTGTTAGCCAGCCTGATGGCACCCCAGTTTTCAATTGGTTTTAAATTCTCATTCCGGCTCATTTAAAGTGTCATGCTAGACACATAAAAAACATTGTTAGGTCGCACAATAAAAAAATGAATTTATCAAGGAATAAATTAATCAAATTGTTTTCTAGTAAAAAAGGTCATTAACTAGCAAAGTCATTAAAAATTATATTTTAATTAACATAAGTTGTTCTATAGTTTAGATTTTTTGTTGTGTTTATTATATTTTTTTTTTTTTTGTTATTATTAAAAACTCCTAATTTAAATTTTTTACTGCTGTTTATTATTTGCTACCCAAATTTACACAGAAATCTTATGTGGTTACAAATTTACTTAGAAATCTCATGTGGTTACAAATTTACATAGAAATTTGCTCTCATGTGGTTAAAAACTCTCACCCTCTTAATTCTCACCCTGCCCCCTAAATGCCGTTGTTGCTTATTTAAAATAAGTGTATTGCAACTCTTTTAATTACCATTCTATTCAATCGAAATTGACAGGCCTATCAGTTTTAATAAGTTTTTTTACTAACTGCCGATGACATTTAAAATCACAGTACAAATGTGATTGTGTCTTATATTAAATGCAATATATGTCATATTTATTATAATTTTAAAAAACAATAAATTTATTTAAAATTTACACATTCAAGTATATTTAATGATGAAAATTATATTATAAAATTAGATGAACAAATATATGAATATCTATGTATTTTATCTATAAAATGTTTTTAACTTTTTTACAAAGATATTCTCTAAAAGTATACATAGATATTTTTTTACATATTTTTTAAAAGTATTTAATTATATTACTAAAGATCATCAATTAAAAAGTTGTTTTTGCTATTTGAAAAGTTATTAAAGGAACCTGGAAACCATTTAAAAAGTTTTGTTATAAAAGTTTGATATTTTTAAACATATTATTTTATTTTACATTTATAATGTAAAATATATAATATTTAATGCCATACAAGTTTATTGTAAATAGTGACTGAACAACAAACATTTGTAAGCAAACGAAAAACAAACATTCAGTTAGCGTACAACAAACTTTCATAAGCAGTTATTTATTAAAGCTAAAAAAATATTTTCTTCACATAAGTTTGCCAAAATGGTTCATAAATTAATCCCAAAGTCTTTTTAAAAGACTATCAGATTATCAACTATTAATTTAAAAAATATGTTTTATATATATATGTATATATTTGTTTATGTATGTAGTGTGTATATGTGTGTGTACATATGTGTATAAAAAACTTCGCATATATTCAAAGTTAAAAAAACATTTAACATGGATTCATCAAATACAAATGCTTTTGAAAAAGTATCAAATTTATTTTAAACTAATACTTTTAATTTAGAAATTGAATCTGATCCAGGTATTAATTATTTTAATGAGATTAATGGACCTGAATTTGAATGCTCTTACTTTTATCCAGATAAAATTGAAAGCATTTTAAAAGATGATGTTAATTGTGATTATTTTAATGTAATCCACATTAATATGAGAAGTTTAAAAAAAAACTTTTGATAACTTTTTTAATATGATTTGCGAAACAGAAAATTTTTTTAACGTTATTTTTTTAACTGAAACTTAGTGTAAAGAAGAAGATTTTAAATTTAACTCTAATCTCCATCTTCTAGGTTTTAATACAGTGTTTTTAGAGCGTAATCTTAATAAGCATGGAGGAGAAGTACTTTTTTACATAAAAGAAAAAATTGTGTATAATATTAGACGCAAGATAAGTGTTTCTGATGAAAATATCGAGATTTTTACGGTTGAAACAATAAACCAAATCTAAAATCTAAAAATGTTTTAATAATCTGCTGCTATTGGCCTCCGACTGGAAGAACTGAGTACTTAAGAAAATTTTTACTAGATAATTTAATAGAAAAAACTAACCAAGAAAATAATAAAAATTACATACTTAGACTGTTTCAATTATAATAAAAAACAAAATATAACAAAGTTTTATAATTATTCATTCCAAACAGGAACAATACCCATTATTGATGGGTATTGTTCCTGTTTGGAATAAACCTACTAGAATGACAAATCATTCGTCCTCTTTAATTGACAACATTCTAACCAATTACATTTTTAATACAACACTTAAAAAAGGCATTGTAAATTTCTGCGTAAGCGCTAACCGCAAAACAAGCATGCATGGAAAGGTAACAATTAAAAAACTTGTTTACAACAACACTAACCTAAATTTATTTAAAGAGCATCTTTTGAATCAAGACTGGAGCTATATAAATTTCAATGACAATAAAACTTCATCTATAACTCTTTTTTTAAAACTTTTTATAAAATCTACAACACAAACTTTGAAATAATTCTTAACATCAAAGACCTTTCTTGTCCTTGGATAACTAAAGGAATTAAAAAGTCTCCTAAAATAAAGCAGAAACTCTATGTTAAATTTCTAAAAACTAAATCAGTTAAGTATAAAAACACTTACACAGTCTTAATAAGTGTTTTTCAACAATAGTACAAAGTCTATCAAATAAAATTTCTTATGTAGATAATAACTCTGTTGATGAATTTATTTCATTAACATATACAACTCTGAATTTTTCAAATCTTACATATAGTGAATTTGAAATAGCATATGAAGCAATAAAAAGAAATAAAGCAACTGGGACTGATGATATAAATCCAAACATAATAATCGATTCTTTTGATGTGATTAAAGGTATCCTCTTTAAAATATTTAAAGCATCTATTACTCAAGGATCTTTTCCAGATAGTTTGAAAATAGCAAAAAAAACTCCAATCTTTAAAACAGGTGACCCTATAAACATAACAAATTATCGTCCTATCTTAGTTCTACAAGTCTTTTCAAAAATATTAGAAAAAATAATGTCTAGCAAATTGTACACTTATCTTATTGACAATAAACTTCTTTATAAAAATCAGTTTGGTTTTCAAAGAAACAGTTCTACTGAACACGCTATTATCCAAGTAACTGGCAGTATTGCAGAGTTTTTTAAGAATTCTCAATTTACTCTAGGCATATTTATTGATTTGTTAAAAGCTTTTGACACTGTTAATCACCATATTTTATTGAAAAAGCAGGAAAGCTATGGTATAAGAGATGAAACCCTAAACTGGTTTAAAAGTTATCTAAGTAACCGTAAACAATTTTTTTATAACAAAGAATATTTGCCACAACTTTTAACAAATATAACATGTGGTGTTCCCCAAGGATCTTGGGCCACTCTTATTTTTGATATATTTAAGTAATCTTTACAAAACTTTTAATTTAACAACTATAATTTTTGCTGACGATACAAGTTTATTTCAGTCACGCGAAGACATTTTAATACTTTTTAATAATATGACTGACAAACTTAAAAATATTTCTTATTAGTTAAAAAAAATAGATTGTCTTTAAATACCGATAACTCGAAATAGACATTTTTTTATCCAATTCTAAAAAAAAGAAAATTCAGAGTATCTTGCCTGACTTATCTATTGACAGTACAGTATTAAAAAGAGAAAATACTAAATTCTTAGGAGTCATAATAGATGAAAACTTATCTTGGAGGCAACAAATTGATAATATTTCCATGAAAATTGCTAAAAGCATTGGAGTTCTATATAAAGTTAGACATGTTAAATAAACATTAGTTAACACAGCTATATTATTCATTTATTTATTGCCATTTAAATAATGCAAATATAATATGGGGAAGCCAAACTTAAATCTTTCTATCAACATCAGAAACGCGTAGCTCGTACAATTAATTTTGCAAATTGTTTTTCAAGCACAATACCACTTCTTAAAGAATGAAAGTTTTGAATATTTATGAACTAAATGTTTTGAATATTTTATGTCTTATGTTTAAATGTAAAGAAAATAATTCACCTAGTGTAATTATAAATCTTTATAATTTGAAACCTAAAAACAAATATGATCATCGTGCTAGTAAAAGTATCGAAGAACCATTTTGCCAAACTAAAATTGACTGGTTTTGTATTTCTTATAGTGGTCCTTGTCTTTGAAATAAAATAGTTTTGATTTTTCTTTTAAATGGTCTTATTCTTCTTTTAAACGGAAAATAAAAGAAATTATCTTTTCAACACAAAATTTTTATATCTATTTTTAGTACTTTAGTTGTTTGTTTTTTTTTTATACTTTATTTTGTTTATTATATAGACTGTGAAGAATATTAGAATATTGTATTCTTTTTTGTTATATAGATTGTAAAGGGCTTCATGATAAGATCCTGTGATCTTCTAGAAGTCCTGCTGGTAATATATTCAATGTAAATTTACCTTGTACATATTCTAGCAAATAAATAAATAAAAATAATTGTTAAAAATTTTTCAGAAAAAAAGTTTAAAAAAGAAAAAAACACCAAGTCTCAAATTTGCTAATTTTTACACCACTCAAAGATTTTAGTAAGTTATGAACATCCCCAAAATTTCATTATTTAATTATAATCTGTTTTAAAGATATCAATATTTTAACTTTGCCCTGAACCAACAAAAATCTGCCATATATTCAAAAATGGTTTTGACCTTTGTTTGTGTTTTGTGTGCAATAGACACCTGAAAATATGTACACTTATTTTGAAGCAAGGAATCCAATAAAACAGTTTAGAACATTTAAAAAGAATCATATGTATGATTCTTTTTAAATGTTCTAAACTGTTAAAAAGAATCATATGATGTAGCTCAATTTTTTTTTTTAGATGTTGTCCTGGATAGTTTAGTTATAGTTGTTATAAAGAATTGGATAGTAGGTTTTTCTTAAAAAAAAAAAATATTCAAATTATTTAAATTTGTTAATTAAAAAAACAGGAATTATGAAAAATCAAGAATAAAAAAATGGTACTCTTAGGCGTTTGGTTAATGGAAGTGGGTGTTTAATAATTTTCAGAGAATCTTCCCACCCACCCTAAACTTATTTAAAACCCTTCGTTAAATTTTACTTATTATAAGCAAAGAAACTGTATCTCAAATAAAATAAAAAAATTTCAGTTATAATTTACTAATTTTTAATTACTGTTTTGGTCTTAAAAATTAGCAAATATAAACTCACTTATAGTTTATAAAAGACCTCCCTCCCTGCTCTTTATTAGATCTAAACTTTGGTGCCCACTTCACTTTGTATTAAACCCTATAGTGTAACTTGACAGTAATGTAACAGAAACAGTTTCAACCATATCAAATTGTTTCTTTAATTGTTATTGACTTGCTGTTTCTATTTTCTTGGTAGTTTAGTAAAATTTTAAAAATTTATTATTATTTCACTTGGGTCCAGTTGCATTTTATATGTATATACTAAGCTAAAATTTTAATACATTGTATAATTTTTTTAGAAGTTTTTTTTAGAAATTTAGTTAAAGTGCACACAAAAAATTGAATTGTTGTCTTTCCTAAAATAGAAAGAAAAAACATTGTCAAGTGTGCTTAAAGTGATTACTTATAAAACATTTTCATTTAATAATTTTTTTATTAATCAAAGACAAACTAGAAGCATTTGTAAAAAAATATTAAAGTAACTTTACCAACTTAAAAATAAAATAATGCTAATATTATTCTTAAAAATGCCAAAAACTTTATTCATGGGTAGAATACTTAAAAATGCCAAAAACTTTATTCATGGGTAGAATACTTTATTCATGGGTAGAATACACCTCAATGTCTTTTTACACTTTCAGTTGATGTGAAACCCATAGATTGTTTAAATTTTCAGTATGATGCTTAATGCACTACAAAGTTTGCATTTTTGTATATAAAAGGTTATATATATTTAGTACCTTCTAATTTTCAATTTTTAGTGTGAACTTAAAAAAACATCTTAAACCAAACTTGGAGACAGAATCTGTTTTTCATTTGGATCAAAAACTCTGTGTGATGTTTTCTGTAAGTTTGTTTTTTGTATAATCAAAAAAAATGAGAAAGGAAATGCTTTTTTAAAGTATTTAGAATTGTTTTACTTAAAACAAATTAATACAAATTTTTTTTATTTTTCTTTAAAGTTTAAAATATAAAGAATATAAGAATACTTTTTAGTTTCAAATTTTTTCTTTGTCATAATATTACATTACTAGTGATGGTGCCCATTAATTTTTGCCTGGATTGAATTTCGGTACAAAATTTCTCATTTTATACCACTCTAGTGTTTTCTTAGTTTAGTGGTATGAGGCTTAGTTAGACCAAAACAAATAACATGCAATCAAATGAGTGGCTAAAGTAACTTTTGAAGACACTCTTCAAAAATTTGTATGAGCATTTTTTTGTTATATTTTTCCTCAAGTTTGTGTTCATACTTGTCGCTTACAACGAAAAATTAAAATATAATATTTGTTGCCAGGAGGTTTTGTGCTAGTGTTTTAGCAGTGAAATTTTGTTTGTTAGAATGATTTGTTTTTTGTTTTTTTTTTATTTCAATTGTTCAGAAACACTTAAATTGTAGTATTTCTTGACTTTTCAAAATTGCAGTTTTTTTTGACTCACCTAAAAATCAATTTGTACTTTTTAGTTCTTTCTCAATTAGAATTCTGATATTCTTATTAAGAATATGTAATCTAAATAAGAATTAAGAATCTGATGTTCTAAATAAAAATCAATCTTCTAATAGATTGATAAACTTTATCAATCAATCTATTAGAAGATTGATTGATAAAGTTTTCTTTTAATCTTTTTTTAACCTTTTAACAGTAGATATAAGAATTTCAGTTGCTTTTGAGAATTGTAGTTCCATGATGGATTCCAGTTTCATGATGGATTTTCTTTGTGAATTTTAAATTCTTCAAGATTTTTCTCGATTTTCAACTTGCTTTGATGAAATTTATGATTTCTGATTTTAACTTCTTTTTTTTTATATTTCTTGACAATAATTGCTTGATTAAAATTATATTGTTGTGTTTTTTTTTAATGTGTAATTTATTTTGAAATTGGCTTCTGTTTTTCATTTCTTTCCATCTCATGCTTTATGAGAAATATAAAAAAATAACATTTTTTTCAAGACTTTCATTTTCTTTTTCTTTTCCTCATTAAGATGTTAGAATTTATGTTTAGATGTTAGTTATTGTGTTAAATTCTGTCAAGTATCTAATAATTGGAAAAAGTTATATACTAGTTCATGTATAATCTATAAACATATAAATTTTTATAGAATATAAATAAACTTAATATATATATATATATATATATAGATATATATATATATATATATATATATATATATATATATATATATATATATATATATATATATATATATATATATATATATATATATATATGTATATGTATATATATATATATATATATATATATATATATATATATATATATATATATATATATATATATATATATATATATATATATATATATATATATATTGCCACAAACATAAAACCATTGGTTTTAACCATTAGGTTAAAATATAACTAATCTTCAATATAGATATATTTTTTTAAATCCATGATTTTTGTTTTTGTATATATATATATGTATATATATATATATATATATATATATATATATATATATATATATATATATATATATATATTATTATTATTATTATATATATATATTATTATATGTATAATATATATATATTATTATATGTATAATATATATATAATATATATATATATATATATATATATATATATATATATATATATATATATATATATATATATATATATATATATATATATACAGATTTATATGTTTAGCAAAAGTATAAGTAGTTCTAACATAATTTATTGATACCACAAAAATGTCTCAAAAAACTGGGCGCAATTGTGATATGATTTGGTTAAAATATACACGAGTGATTGTTCCAGAAAGAAAGGGGTGTAGAGCAGTTTGTAATGCATGTAGAAAAGAAATGGAAGGTCAAATACAAAGGATGCATGAACATATAAAAAAGTGCAAGCAATCACAACCCAATGAAATTATGGAGTCAATTGAAGATCAATAACTTCTTGAAGGTAATTACTACATTGTCATTTGAAACTGCAATTACATTTTAAAGGTAACTCACCATCAACATCACAACAGCAGATGAAAAGGTCCCAGTCCAATTCAACATCAGCTGATAAATATTTGAAATTTGATAAGTTTTTCATAAGAACAAGCCTCAAAAAGAAAGATTTATTTGATCTGCTACTTGGTAAATTTTTATACAGTACAAACTCTAGCTTCAGAACATTTAAACACTAAGAATTTAAAAAATTTATCAATATGCTTCATCCAGGATATACTCTACCTAATAGAAGTCAAATTAGAGGAGAAATATTAGATAGGGTTTACACAGAAGAAATTGAAAAATGTAATGTATTGAATGGGAAAATTGTAGCCATGTCTTTAGATGGCTGGAGTAATGTACATAATGAATCTATAGTTTGTATCTCTGTAATTTTAGATTAACATTTTAGTAGAAACAATCAACACTTCTGGTCATTCACATACTGGTGAATATCTTACACAATTAGCAAGAGAAGCAATAGATTCTGTAAGACATAAATTTGGATACACAGTAAAAAGCTTTGTGACTGACAATGCAGCTAATATTAAATCAATGAGACAAGTTAATATGAAATCAATGAGACAAGTATTGTCATCTGAAAGAGATATTATCATAACTTATGGTTGACAAGACAGAGTTCTGTTGATATTCGATTAGTTCAAATAGAATATCGTTTTGTAAGACAGTACAATTTTATGGAGCTATCAAGTCAGCTGATGAACAAATTATAAATTACGAGATCCATGAAGATTCAAAAGAAGAATTAGCATTACAGAGTCAAAAAACAAGTTTGACAGTTAGGATCAGATAAAATCGAGTTTGTTTGATATTCAGCAGATACAAAATACAACTGCTACTGTAAAACATGGAGGAAGTAATGTAATTGTTAAAATTGTTAAAAGAAGAATTAGCATTACCGAGTCAAAAAACAAGTTTGACAGTTAGGATCAGATAAAATTGAGTTTGTTTGATATTCAGCAGATACAAAATACAACTGCTTACTGTAAAACATGGAGGAAGTAATGTAATTGTTAAAATTCCAACTGCTTACTGTAAATCATGGAGGAAGTAATGTAATTGTTTTGAGATATTTTATCCCAAACATACTGGCAAATCGGTTTGAGAATTCTTCAAAAATATTAAAATTTGTGTTTTAAAGTTGATATCCTAATTGACTAGTATTGATATCCAAATTGATATCCTAACTGACAGGCAAAGTAAGATGAATAAAAGATACCATTGATTATTAATGGCAAAGTTGACTGTCAAATATTAGACAAATTATGAAAAATTATTTTATAATTATTCAGAAAAATCAAAGAAATATTGCACTCAATTCCCGTTGATGTATTATGTATTTGATTGTATTAATTTCGTTCTCTTTATGCCTCATAGATACAAAGCCATTACTGATTGTAAAGATTGTACTACAAAATAATAATTTTGCATTTAACCCTTAAGTGTACTTTGCCTAGTACACTGGACATTGTGTATTATGGTATTATGGCTGATCTGCTGACTTAAACAACATATTTTATATGTTGTTAGCATGAAAATATGTTGAAACATGAAAATATACTTAAAAAATGACCATATGCTTTTATGACTTTAATTTTTTCAAGATGGAGTTGCGGAATGCTATAAATACAAAGTAATTCTGAAACATTTTTTTCTGAGTTTTAATAATGCTAGGAAATAAATTTTTGACTTTATTCTTTAAAAATTTGTTTAATACTTACATTTGAATTCCTTATATTGTTGTTCATTAATATTTAAATTATGGTTTTTGTAAATGCCCAATATACTGTACATTGTGCACAGTAAAAACAACTTTTTTAAAGTATGGTTTTTGTCTTATTCTTTACCTTTCAGATCATTTATGGAAGAAAGTTCTCCAAAATAGTAACAAAAAATATTGTTAAGATTCTAAATGTCAATATCAGTTATAATGAGTTGGCACCAAGTAATGTTGGTGAAAGTGGATTTGTTGTCCTATGTCTTTGTAATGATTGCAAAAAAATAATCACAAAGTTTTTATTGACAACTACTTCTGTTCTCCAGAACTTATAGAATACTTATTTTCCATAGGTATCTACGCTATGAGTACACTAAATATAACTTGTTCTAGAAACTGTACTTTGGCATCTGAAAAAGATTTTAAAGAGTGTGTGTGAGGAACTACTGATCTACTTATCTCAACCTGCTGCTGGCCAGTTTTATAACTCATACATGGGAGTAGTAATAGAGCAGACATGATTTTGGCTTTGTACTGCACCAAATACCGGTCTAGAAAATGGCATCAGTGAATTCCCTTCCACCTTATCAGTCAGTGTGCTGTTAATGCATGAATTATTTTTCAACAAATTGGAGGAACTGACAGTTATTTAGATTTTTTAACTAGTGTTTGCATATCACTTATCAACCCATCAATTCTTGGTAGTGACAAGACAGAGTTCTGTCTACCAAAACCTATAAAGACAAATGCTATTCCTGCTAATGTTAAAAACGATAAGTACTACCATTAGCCGATTCTGGTGAGCATACCTAATGCTATGCGGTGTGAATAAAATGGTTGCAAAATAAGGACTATATTTTGATGCAGTAAATGTAAAGTTTATCTGTGCGTAAACAAAGTGTTTTTTGGGTTTTCATGGAGCTGTTTAATTTTATAAACTTAAGTAACTGTTATACCATATGTTACAAAATTGTTGTTGTTTACATCAATTGTTAATATTATTGTTCTATTAATAAAAAGAAACTCTGTGTTGAAATTGTATTTTTTAAATTGTTTTTAATGTCCATAAAATTTTCCAGGAAACTGGGGTCACTTTTTACAAAAACAAAATTGGACTCTGTTTCATACCATATAAACATTATTTGTGTAAAGTTTTGATAGAAATGCCTAACTCTATGTGCCTCATGCATTAAAGGGTTAATAATTACAAAATACTAATAAACACAAAATAATAATTCACAACTAATTTTGATCAAAAATTGTTTTAAACTTAAATTTTGTCCAAAAATTTTTGAACTCATCAACAATTGTTAATTAAATAAATACGCTGATTAAGTTATAAATATTTGTTCAAAAAATAACAGTAAGCATAAAAACTATTTGTATATATTATGTTGCCTTTAGTTAAGTATGTGCTGAAATATTGATAAAATTCAAATTTTTTAACCCTATCCGCATATTTATGGGCGCTACTGTATATATATATATATATATATATATATATATATATATATATATATATATATATATATATACATATGTGCATATATATATATATATATATATATATATATATACACACACACACACACACACATAGCTTTAGACACACAGAATAGGTTGTATATGTAGCAAAAATAGGGAAAGATGCAATTATTTGTTTTAAATTATTTTTTTTATTTTTTTTCAGAATGTGAAAACTTTTTCAGTTGGTACTATCATTCAAACTAATAATGATATAGTTTCAGTTTTTGAAAAAATAATAAGTAAAGGACGTTTTGGAGCGGTATATGATTGTTGGATTTTATGTAATAAAAGCAGGGGAGATGCAAGAGTGGCAGTTAAAAAAGTAAGAGAAATAATTTTTTAATTTATTTATTTTTACATAATTATTGTTTTTATAGTAATACTGTGGTAGTGGTATAGTAGTAGAAAGCTCGCTTCATAAGTGAGAAGTTCCAAGTTTGATTTCCACGAAGTCCGTGGTAGAACAGTATTCAACTTGTTTCTCCATGCATTGGCCTTGTTCATCAAGGTTTATGTTTCAGACCTTATAGAGCTATAGAGAAAGGGCTGTAATCATAGCTAAAATAGTCTCCTCTACTGTAATGACCCTTTAGATCTTCGGGAGGTAGATTAAATCTTAAAAAAAAAATGGTATAGTAAATATTAGAACTTACAATAAAACAGTTTTGTAAAAATTATATTTAATTTTTCTTTTTAATTATCCTTTTTTTACTTTCAAAAAGTAAAAAAATTTATTAATAAAAGTTTTTTTCAGTGTTTTTTCTTTTAAGAAACATAGCAACAAATATTGTATATATAGTTAAAAAATCGTTGAGTAAAATTAAAATTTACAATAAAATAAAACTTATATAAATAAGATGTAACTTTTTTTTATTTTTCTACAAATATATTTTTGCTTTTAATTTAATGCAGATAAAGGAGGTGAAAAGCATTATAGCAACAGCTAAATCTATGGCTCTTCTTTCAACAATTGGTAATTCCACAAATATTGTCATACCCTTATTAGTTTTGGAAACAGCCAACCCAACAACCAAAAACCCAAAGATTTGTTATCAAATAATGATTCTTGCTGGTAAAAAAGTTACTTACATAAATCTTTTTTTTAATTTAAGTAATAATATAAATCTTTTAGTATTTTTTTAGAAATGGATTTAAAATTTGTCGTCAATAATGGACCAATCACAGATAATCTGATTGCTTATTTGATTAAGGATGTTTTGAATGGAATTTGGTATTTGCATAGAAGAGGTTATGTTCACTGCGATTTAAAATGTAAAAAAGAAAAGTTTTTTTAATAACTTTTTCATTTTTTATTACAAATGTTTTATAAAAATTTGTTACTAAAAAAAATCAGATATTTTTTTAAATTAATAATCTAATACTGTTAATGATTTTATAAGAAAAAATTATTTTTCTTATTGTTTTCTTGTTGGGGCTTAAATATTTACAAACAATTTATAATTGACTTTTAGATATTAAATTGGTGTCCTGAATAATAATTATCCTGTAACTATATTCAAATATTTTTGTAACCATATTTACTGGTAATTTTAAAATATTTTTTTGTTTATTAAAATAAAACTTATGTATTAAAAATAGTGTAATGATATTTTGTATAACGTGTTTTATATTTTAAATAATTTCTTTTTTAAAAACAAATTTTATCAAAGCTTAGAGTTAAGATGCAAAATTAATTGTGTTTTGGATAACTAAACATAAGTAATATTTACTAAATTGAAGATTAATTTATATATTAATTAACGCCAGTAAATACTTAAAAACTTGTAACAAAGCAACCCTAAGGCTTTCAGAAAAGTCCACTACAGTAAAAAAAGCTTTTTATTTTATTTTATTAAAAAAAATTAAATTGTTTTATTAAAAGAAATCTATAAATAATTTTGTTCAGATTCTCTTCTAACCCTTCTCTACAGATGAGGGTTATCAATGGTGTAGTTCTATCTAATTTTAATATACTTTACATTCCAACAATAAGATAATTAGTGCTGTTAGAATGAATTAGGAATTTTATTTAGTAGATTTTTATTTACTTATTTTTAAGTGGAAAATATTGTTGTGAAAGACTACCATGCATATGTTTGTGATATTGATTTCGTAAAAGAAGAGGAAGCAAAGTGTGATGTTACAACCACTTACTATTCTGCACCAGAGGTTTTATTTTAAATCCCTAATATTTATGAATTGTTTTATATTTATCTAAAGGATTTCTTTATAATTTCAATTGAGTCTTCAATGATAAATCTTTTTTTTGTGTGTAAAACAGCAATTAATGGTGAATAGTTGTTTAAAATTATTTAAATAAATTAATTATTTAGATTTATTTAGTTAGAAAATAGTTATTTAAAGTTATTTAAAGAACTTTTGTTAAAAAAGTTTTAGTGTTTTTGTTAAAAAAATTTTCTAATTAATTACAACCTTGCTGAACCAAATTTTAGTTTCAAAATTATAAAAGTTTAAAAAATATTCGGATTATACAGGAGTCAAAATATTTCCTGAGCTATATATATATATATATATATATATATATATATATATATATATATATATATATATATATATATATATATATATACATACATTCATATTTGTATATACGAGGTGTGTTTAAAAATTAAGGTGACTTTGTATTTTTAAGAAAAAATGTTTATTTATTTATCAATATTTATTTTGATAAATAAATAAACTACAATACACTTATGCCAACGGTTTTTCCAATCCTCAAAGTACTTCTCATAAACACTTATTGGTATAGCCTTGAGCTCTTCCAGCAATGCAGTCTTTATCTCTTCAATCGTTGCAAATCTTCGTCCTTTCATAGGTCTCTTTAGTTTAGGGAACAAGAAAAAGTCACATGGAGCCAAATCTGGTGAGTATGGTGGTTGAGGCAAGATTGTGGTATTGCTTTTGGCCTAAAAATCTCTCACATGCAAAGATGAATGAGCAGGGGCATTATCGTGATGCAAAAGCCATAAATTGTTTTTCCACAATTCTGGGCGTTTTTTTCGTATTGCTTGTCGCAAACGGCGCATAACTTCAAGATAATACTGTCTATTGACCGTACAACCATATGGTGAGTACTCCTGATGCACCACACCATGGTAATCGAAGAAAACAGTGAGCAAAACATTGACATTTGATCGAACTTGGTGTGCTTTTTTTGGTCTTAGCTCACCTGGGCTCTTCCATTGGGACGATTGGGCTTTAATTTCAATATCATAACTTTATATCCATGATTCGTCACCAGTTATGACCCTTTTAAGTAAATCTGGGTTGTCGTTGAAGTCATTCAGCAGTTCTTGATTGATGCTCATGCGACGGTTCTTTTGGTTAAAATTGAGCAATTTTAGAACAAACTTCGCTGACACAGGTCTTATGCCTAAATTGTTAGGACTAATTTCATGGCACGAGCCAAGCAATATACATCCTCAGCAACTTCTCTGATAGTGATTTAACGATTTTCCAAAACAATATTCTTCACTGCTTGAATGTTTTCATCAGTTGTTTACGTGGTTGGGCGTCCAGAGCGAGGCTCGTTATTGACATCTTCCCAGCCATCTTGAAAGAATTTGTACCACCTGTAAACATTTTTTTTACTTAGAACCGTATGCCACTGTCAACATTTCAAGTGTTTTGGAGCACTTTGTTTTATTTTTTACACAAAATTTGATGAAAATCCTTTGATCCATATTTTTCGATACCAAAAAATCGCTGAGCACGCAAAATACTAATAACCTTTACGCCTTTCACAACTAAACAAAAAATGCTATACACTTGAAACTTGGTACAGATGTTTGGGAAGAGTGTACCAACATGACAAAACAAAAAAATCGATAATCGAAAGTGCGTTGCCCGCGAAATTTGAAAAGCCACCTTATTTTATAGACGCACCTCGTATATATATATATATATATATATATATATATATATATATATATATATATATATATATATATATATATATACACATGTCATATAATATAAAAAATGAAAAATAAGAAATTTATTGTACAATAGTTTTTTATTAAACAATAATTTTATACTTAACAGACAGCAGCTCATTGGAGCATGTGTATCCAAACTTTGTAATCATTTGTATTCCAATTTTATTTGTTTTATTTTTTAACAAATTAAAAATTGAACAAGTGTAGTCTTTTATTAGTTTTTTATAAGTTATTCAGGTTTATTATATATATATATATATATATATATATATATATATATATATATATATATATATATATATATATATATATATATATATATATATATATATATATATATACAAATTAGTAGAAAATCACTTAGCAAAATTTTTTCTCATTTAACACTGTGTTTCATCAATAAAGACTCATCAGAAATCTGATGAGTCTTTATTTATTTCTGATGAGTCTTTATTGATGAAACACAGTGTTAAATGAGAAAAATCTTTGCTAAGTGATTTTCTACTAATTTGTATATATATATATACATATATATATATATATATATATATATATATATATATATATATATATATATATATATATATATATATATATATATATATATATATATATATATATATATATATATATATATATATATATGTATATATATATATATATATATATATATATATATATATGTATATATATATATATATATATCAGGCCCTATGAGAGGGGGTGCAGTCGGTGCGCCACACCAGAGCTTAAAAGAACAGTGTCCTATTGCTATTTTTTCTCCTTGTGGCTGCTACACACTTAAACTAGGTGGTAATGATATTGCTGAGTGTATTCTGGAACCCTTAACCTACTTCGGAACTATGCAAATAATATACACCTTATTTAGTTGTAGTCCGAAGAGGTGGGAAATATTATCTAAGCGTATTAGTTGTTCTCTTCATAGAAAAGAGAAAGAGAGTTCTCTTCACTAGAAAAGAGATTTGTGGAGCATTTTGTTACACTACAACCTTTTCCTGCAACATGCCAGTTGTGTAGCACAGAATTTTATTTCCTATTGACATTTGCAACAAAGTCATTCAAGCCAATAATGCAACATTAGAAATGGAAGTTTTAAATATAGAAAGCTTATAATAGAATATACTTTCACAATTAGTAGCTATTCGCGAAATTTGGAAAGCAATGTGGAATGAAGCTAAGCTTGTTGTATTGATATAGAAATAAAATTGTTTAGGAACATTAGCAGAAAACAATTCCACAATAAAAATGTGAGTAAAATGAGTGAAGCAGGCATATCTCCATTAGATTCCCTATTCTGAAAGCAAATATTTTATTTAGTATTAGATAATGTTATTGGAAGTCTTACAGTTCGTTTTAGCACCGCAAAACAGATTTTTGAAACATTCAGCTTTCTTTGGAACTACCAAAAAATGTCGAAATAGGAATAATCACATGAACCATTGTATAGTATATACATTGTATAGTATGTATATATATATATATATATATATATATATATATATATATATATATATATATATATATATATATATATATATATATATATATATATATATATATATACATCAACTATCTTATAGCTTGCTATTGCAAAGGAGTGTTGCTACATTGACTGTGGATTTGGCATATGTTTATCTAAAAATGCTATTTTTTGCCAACCTGAAACACTTTTAGGGTGGGGTTGTTGAATGCCGATTTTAGTTCCAATGGTATACTATAGTTCAAAGTATATATCTATAATAAATAAAAATATTTTAAAATATTTTTTCAAAAGTTTAAAAATTTTGTTTATAAATGTTTCAAGTTATTACTTGTTTTAAAAAGTAATTTTACTTTCACCTACATGCAGATTGTATCTAGTACATTCACTTAATAGTTAAGAATTTTAATAAAACCTAGAGTTTTGAAGAACAAAATAAACTATAAATAAACAATAAATAAGCAATATTGAATTCAAATATTTTTTTTTTTTTTTTTTTTTTGAAAATTTGATTTATTCATTTTTTTTTTATTTTTTTTTTTCAAGATTTTGATTTCTTCCTTTTGATTTTTTTAAAATTTTTAAGCAAGCAATTAAGTTTTAAATATAAAGATAATCAACCAATCAAAGCAAATAAATGGAAACTTATATTAAAATGACAACCTTTTTTTAAGGTGTATGATGGTATTGCCAAAAAGCCATTAGACATACATTGTATCGGGCTGGTTTTAGCAAGATTGGCAAATGTAGACATATCAATGAATATAGACCGTAATGATTTGCCACTAGAAAAGAAAAGAAAGATAATTCAAAGAAATAAAAAAGTGGTAAATTTTCTATTGATTTATATTATGTAATTAAGTTTATGCTAGCTTTTTTTGCAAGTTTTTTTTGATTAATACAAAACATATTTAGTATTATTAAGTACGTTTATAAAAATACTTAGTATTTATAAATATATTAATCATGAGGTTTTATAATGCGTTGTTGTTTAAATTTATAAACATACTGATCATGAGGTCATACATTATTGTTATAATTTTTAGCTCGATGATATAAAGAAAACACATCCTAAGTTTTTACAAGTATTTTATGATTGCACAAAGGTATGAATAATGTTTTAAAATAACTTGTTTATAATTTTAGTGAATTATAAGTTCAGTTAGCAATTTTAAATATTATTACTAAATTGTATGCCAATATAAATAGGAAAATTAGTTTTAACTGCGCTGAAAACATTATTTTTAACAAAATATTTTATGCTTTCAACTTTAATTTACTCTAAAACGAGATGTGTATGGAACTTGCAGAGAAATAAAGTGACATGAGTTACATTAAGAAACGTTTTAGTAAAAATCTTTTAAACTTTGCAGTTGACTCAATAAAAGACTGTTGTCAATGGTAACACATCTCTGTCAAAAGCAACACATCTTTGTCAAAAGTAGCACTTATATATATAACATATTATGTTTTAAAATTTTTTCAGATTTGAATAATTACTTGAAAAAAATAAAACTGATATTGATTTTATAGTAATAAATCATTGGTGGTGGTATTTATAAATAAAGTTTGCTAGTGAAGGTGAAAGAGCTTGATATAATTATGGAAATCAGTATTGTGTTGAAAATTGTTATTTTATTGAAGTTTAAATATTTAAAAAACAACATGAATCAATCATGAGTTTAATAAAAAGCAGTTCTTAGAAAAATAAGTTAAATGCATTTTTTTTTTTATTCTTTTTTTTTTATTTTTTTATTCATAGAAAAATTAAAAAGAGTTTAATCTAGATATGACTTTGGCAACCGAAGCTCGAATGATTTAAATGCGTAACAATGGGTTAACCTGTTTAATTGGAATGGAAGATAAAGAATGGCCATAAGATTCAAAATTTGAGCTAGAAAAAAGTTCTTTGCAAATAGTTCTGCCTAATCCTTGGGAGAGGTAATAAGTACAGTTCCATGAATGAGAGATGGAATGTTAGACCTACCCTTTTTTAACAACGCTGTTTAAGATTTTCCAAACGTCTTTATAGCCTAACTTTTGAGATCAAATACGAGTTTTAGTGAACTGAAAATAATGGAGCTTAGGACCTTTAATAACAGAGTAATAATGAAGGACCTTTAATAATGGAGAGAAATAATGGAGCTAAAAGCAGCTTTTTACATCAATATCTTAAAATAATAAATAGCTGTTTGTTCTCGAGAGAGTTGTTCTTTTGAAAAATATGAAGAAAATGATTACGATTAGATATAGCAGCTGCATTAGAGGGTGAAAACCATGGAGTAGAATGAGGCTTGACTTCGAAATGACAAGAAGTAATAAAAGCTTCCATTCCTGCCTGAATCCAGGAGATAATGTAGGAGGCGCATTTTTCAGTTAGGAATGAAAAGACATCAGCCCAAGGACCTTCACAAAAAAATCAAAAAAAAGAGTCCCATTCAGCTTGAGAGTAGTAGTAAGTATTGTGATGATATGATGAGTCAAAAAAAGAAGTACGAGATGCAAGATTTAAAGAGATCATTGCGTGGTCAGAACCACCTAATGGAGAAGCTGAATACAAGCTAGGATCAGTAACAAGATATAAATCAAGGAGAGCCAGGGTTAGGAGTACCCTGAAGGTAAATGATTAGGGTTGTCAGGAAAATGAGTTGCAAAGTTAATTATCTGAGTAAGACATTGAGAAATGCAGAAGTTATAGGTTTTAGCGCCAGCAAGGTCAGTGGCGTTAGAGTTGAGCCATTCAATGTTATGAACTTAAAAGTCACCAATATCAACAATATTGGCAAGGGGTAAAGAGAGAGGGCATAGTCAATTTGATCAAAAATTACATCTAAAAGAGCACATTCTTAGGAAGAAGGAGGACAATAAAAAACACAGAGGAAGGTGTTAGAGTGAAGAGGTGCAAAGCAGAAGCACATAAAAGAATGGTCGAAGGATTCGAACTTGATTTCATTACAAATAGGTGAATTTATACCCTGACCCAAGCATGTGACGATTGGAGTCTTTGCGAATCGAAAGATAGTACTCATTAGCACTGAAATCAGAAGAAGGGATAGCAGAATTTAAATTAGTCTCACTGAAAGCGAGCAAGTCTGGTGAATTTTGTAAAAAGTAAGGTTTAACTGATGGAAGGTTGCTTCGCAGACCATGAATATTATTAAAACAGATTTAAACAGAACATATAAACATTTAAATAGAACACATACATAAAGTAAATAAAAATGAGTAAATACCAGAGGTTCAGACAGAACACAAAAATACAGAGTAACTTATGGGTCAACACCACGCCAGAGGTTCAGACAGAACGTAAACATACAGAGTATAATTTATGGGTGAGTAAACACTGCATCAGAGGTTTAGACAGAACAGAAACATACATATACATTAGATTACACTTGAGCTGGAACAGTAACTAAGCACCTCCAACTATATATATCCAAAAAAAAAAGATATATATTTATATAAGGGTTCGGAAAAATTTGTATGCGCAGATATTCGCATACAATTGTGCGCATATATTTGCATAATTATGTGCATAGTTTTTTTTAATTTCAAGTAATTAAAAACTGTAATGTTGTTCTATCTGATACGAAAACACTAAGTTTCTTGAGGGGTTCTTCAAGACCCACAAATATTTAATAGGTCCTTAATATTTTCAAAAAAAAAGTTTTTTAAAAATATATCAACCTGGTACTCAAATGAAGTAAAATTATATAAAAAATTTCAAAAATAGTATTTATTTTAGGTTTTATTACTTTAAAAATTACGTTTTATAACAAAGAATGGAAAAAATGGGTTTTTTATGTTTTTTTATAATAATTTTGATAAATAAGTTAAAATTTTTGCAAAATAAATATAATTTTTGAAATTTTTATATAATTTCGCTTCATTTGAGTACCAGGTTGACATTTTTTTGAAAAACTTTTTTTTTTGAAAATTCTAGGGACCCATTAAATATTTGAGGGTCTTGAGGGACCCCTTAAACTATATTTTATTTTATACATCCTACAAAAATTTTTTAGTATTTGTGCCATTCATAAATATTTTAACTTTTTTTTTGAAGTATGTAATTGCTAGCAAGGGGGCTAACTAAAGGCTATCTAACTCTTGCTAAACAATAACTAAATTATTTGAATAATAATTCATTGCTACATATTATATCCTCCTAATCTTCCATTAAACAGCCCTGACAAAATACCATACGGTCTTTTATATTTTTTTGAGAAAGGCAAGTTTTTTTTGGTTGGACATAGAACTTTAAATAAATTTGTTTGCACAAACGTCTTCTAATTTTTATGACACTTGATGCAACCCCAGTTGAAAATACTTCAGTTGAAATTTCAGAAGCACTGGCAAACAGATATGCTTTGGCCTAGCGATGAATGCTATGCCAAAGCATATCCATTTGCAGTTATCTGTCCTTTAAATTGTTGAATAATCACTTTTGATTATTCCTATTATTACTGGTATCTTGGTATATACCTTATAGACCAAACAGAAACTTTTTATTGCAACACAAATACCACTATGTCACCAATATCAATAAAAAAATATCACCAAAAAAATATCAATAGTAAATAATAAGAACAATTCATAGATTTAATATGTCTGTATACAGTTGATGATTTTTTAACTGTTTATGCAACACATAGATTGCAAAAAGTTAAGTTTGTGTCTATATAGTAGATGATTTTTTGATTGTTTATGCGACACAAAGATTGCGTTTGTGTGTATAATTTTTGTCACCTATTAAATCATTGTTGTCACCTATGCTATATTCTGTCATTGTTATCATTTGTTCCATTGTTGTCACCTGTGCTATATGCTGTCATTGTTATATTTATTTCATTGTTGTCTCCTGTGCTATATGCTGTCATTGTTATCATTTGTTCCATTGTTGTCACTTGCGCTATATGATGTCATTGTTATCATTTATTCCATTGTTGTCTCCTGTACTATATGCTGTCATTGTTATCATTTGTTTCATTAAATTATAATTTAATCATTTGTTAAAATATGTTTTTCAGTCATTCAACTTTTTTTCACTTTTTATTTATTTTATAAAAATTTATTAAAAATTTAAATTTGTTTAGAAAAGTTCTTTACAAAAATCTACTCTTGATGATTTATTTAGGAAGTTCCTTCGCAAAGATCTACTGTTGATGAGTTAATTATCAATCATTTGTTTCAAGTTAATGTTGAAACGGTTACAAATGAAATCAATTATGTACTTTCTAAAAAGAGTTCGCAAAGTATCAATTTTGAAATCCAAGATGATCTCGCAAACAATATTGTTCAACTGCAGTAAAATAAATTTTTTGTATTTTTTTTTTTTTTTTAATTGCTTATTACAGTTTTTTTTATTTAAATAAATTTGAAAAGTAATTTTTATTATTATAGTATATTTCACACAATAAAATCATTGATTTAGCAATTGATGTTATACATTTGATGCATACACATCTTTGAATGTAGGGCCGGCGCGAGTAAGTTTGAAGTGGGGAAGGGGTGCCATACGTAGTGTTTTGCTGAAAAACTTTTTAACATATTAAAACAAATCTAAATTGTTCCACAACGTTTAAATCAGTTTATAATTATTATTTTTTCTCCTTTTAAAAAATGTCGTTTACAGCTTGCAAAGGCATTGTTGTTTTATGAACATCTGTCACTCGCAGAGCTCACTGTGCAGTCAGAATAGTTTTGATACACTGAACTACGTTAAAAATTCATAGACTGTGTACACTATGGTTTTAAGATATATTTTCTTCAAACAAAACTTCCGCGTTTTGTTTTCTGCCATAAATGTGTGAAAATCTGTAAAGTGTATGTAAGCAACGGCTTGTTGTTACCTAGTTTTTTATTTCCGTTTAAAATAAAAGCAGAATTTTGTAATAAGAAACTTATATTTTAGAGGGCGCCAGTTGACTAGTTGACTCCCTCCCCCACGCCTATGCTAAACACGCCACTGCTTACAAATTGGGTTTAAGATTTAAAAAAGCTGTGTTAAGTGTCATACAATCTTTAGTTTGTAGTTATATATATATTTTTTTGATTTAGTTTAAACCAGATTTTGGATAATCTTCCGAAAAAATTTTAATGAATGAGTGTAGTTATGTCATGGCAACTGCTACGACTTCTTTATAGAAGACTGCAATACAAATCTCAATTTAAGATAATCATATGGAGAAATTAGTTGTCAATGCAACATTGTCGGTGTCAATGCATCATTAGAAAACTTGAATTTAAAAATGAAAATAAAGTACGAGGAGTAGCAGCGCGGTTGTGTATTTCTTCACAATATATTGAATTATTTTAAACAAAAATAAAGTCAAAATTTATAAAAATCGTGACTCGTCTGTGTCAGTTTTTTTTTTACTGATAGAAACATTTTTTATAAGTTTTTCTAGTTACTGTTGTGGTGCATTTTTATGTTTTATAATTTTAAAAATGAATATAAAAATGAATCTACAATATTTTAGTATATTATATTGAAACAATAATTTATTTTTATGCAAGTTATAAATATGTTAATTGTTATTTACGTTAAATAATTTTATTCTCATTAGTTACGAATTTTACAACTCCATTTTAAATTGTTTTATACAGATAAACATTTTAGGTAATTTTTAATTTTTTTTATTTAAGCAGGTACATAGGTACTTTCATCTTTAGAATGTAGAGGAGTGCTTTGTTTAATATTTGAATTATGATTCAAAGGTTAGTTTCTTCTAATAATGCTTCCTAATCTATTTTTAAATTTTTTTGACTTATTTTTGAATGCATTTCAATATATATTTTTTTACTAATTTTTAATTGTCATTCTCACTTCAACTATCTGTTTTGATACCTAGTCTACCACTCTCAATATTTTCATTTTTAATGCTTAGATTTTTGGATATAGATTATGTTTTATTATTAATAATTATAGTTAGGTAATAAATATGTTAAGTCATCTCATCCAAGTGTAACTATTTTTTTATTTTTTGTTTATAAGCAACAAGTTATTACAAAGTAACCGTTTTTTAAAATTATCAATAGTGAACATTAGAATATCTTTTTTCGTAATTATTTCCTTTTTAATTTAGTAACCTTTAGTTTGATTTATTATTTAGATTAGCAATAAGAATGATTATTTAAACCTTAATTTATAAGTTCTAAAATAAAAAAACTCTTGTGACAAAAAACGCATAAAAAAGCGGTCTTAACCTAATCACGTGGTCAAACGGCAAACTTCTGATTTTTGCATTTTTTTGCATTAGTTTTCTACTCGCAAGTAACAACATTTCACTAATAAATCATAAAATGAAAAGCACAAAAAAATATTCTTGATCTATTATTAACTGTTGTCGGAAAAGGTTTTAGATTTTCAAACAGCTCTTTATCTTTTCTTTTTGTTCCACCTTTTCTCTGATATTGTGGGTTTCTTAACCTGTTAATTTTAGCAACGTTTTATATATAGGGTTTTAAAAAAACGTTTAGGCAATAAGAAAAAGCTTTGATGATTATCACAATGATGAAGAGAGAACAGTATACGAAAAGAATACTAATTTATCCTGATTTTTTAGCAGGTCTTCTAGCAACGTCAAGTATGAGTTTTTTTTGTGTAAAAGATTGCAGAAGCTGTATATGTCCAATTGACTTTAACTTTGTACAGATGATCAGTTTAATGAGCTTTATATCCTAAAATTTTGGGATCAAATATGTCCTTCTAACATATTTGATTCCAAATTATTTTTGTGTTAATTGTCAAAGGTTTAGCCTAAATTAAGACGTATAGAAAAAGTTTTCAATTTCTCTAAATTAAAAATATTTAAATTTTGTGTTTATCTCAGAAAATTTACTTAAAAGTTATGCAAATGTAAAATCTCAGGACTTGACGTATTTTACTTTTTGAGATTTTTTGTCCAGGAAATTTTTCAATTTTTGGGCTTAAAACCACAAGTAGAAAATAGTTAACTTTTTTTTTAATGTTATGTTTTAAATAAAAAAGATCAATTAGAATGTGAACTATTTTTTCAACAGTCTACCATCTTGAACTGATTAGGAATCTTAAAGTTGCATAGTCAGGACAACCTATTTTTAAATTTAAAAATAGATTTAGCGCAGCTTTAGTAGTCAAACATAGCATAAAATATTTTATATGTACAATTATTTCAAATAAGTTAAATTTTTTTTCAGTAAATACAATACGACTCTCCAAATACCTACACGGTGTGATTTTGTTTAATGAAGCTATGAAGACTTACTTTATATGCAATGAACTTTTTCAAGACTAAATTCTACCTACATTTGATCAAATTTTATTGGATGGCTAATATTATTAATTTTATGGTCGTTCATAAATTACGTCACGCAATTTTTGACCGCTTTTAAACCCCTTTCCTCTTTTCCTCTCGTTAAAATATCGTAACTCTTTAGTAGCACGTCCCTTGCAATTGATCCTAATACCACTAACACTACCCTCACCCTCTAGAAGGTGTCGTTATTTATAGACAATTCTTTACTCGCTTTAGCTACTAACAATTGCCAGAAATAAAAAAAAATGTACTGCGATTTTTTTTTATTGATTTTCTCCCACTTTCTACGATTTACGAAATTTTCGGATACGGATGTAACGAAAACAGTTTATTTTAATCTTACGCGCCAAGTACAGTCATTCTGGGTAACTTTGAATTTGCGGGTAACATTGAACTAAACGTGTAAATGTTTTTAAATTTTTTTTTTTCTTTGGTTTTTTCTTTGCCTGTTGCTTTAACAAAGAATAATATGATGAATTATCTTTTTTTACAAAAGTTTGACCAAAGAAAATTAAATTTTATTTCTCAAAAATATTGTTTTCCTCCATTTCCAGTTACACAGTCGAATGTGGTGATAACATCGTGTGTTTTCAATTTAGAATATTTGGTATTATATTGTAATTATCTGAATAGATTTTTAAGTATTTTATTGAATTATTTTTCAAACTTTAATACAAACTCAAAATAATAGGATTTAACATGTTTTTTGCTACAAAAAGGATATTTATTTCCACTTAGCTAAAATATAACCAAAGTCAGGGTAACTTTAGACAATCAATATTTTCCAAAAATGCTTTTTTTGCTGTCTGAGTAACATTGCAATAATACATAATAAATAATAGGTATCTTTTTATTATAGTATTTTTATTATATAATGATATATGATATTATAAATATCAAAAATTATAATATCTAATACTAATATATTAATTTTTGACATTTATGGCTATCTTGATAGATTTAATAATATATTTTATTAATAGCAAATATGCGATTAATTAAATAATTTTCATTAATAACATAAATCATCTTTATATTTTTAGCATTCATAAAATGCCAAGAAAATGTTCGACAAGTCATCCTGGCACAAGAAAATATGGCACTAAATCTAATTACACCAACTCTTCACTTCAAGAGGCTTTAGCCAAAATTAAATTAGAAAAAATTTCGATTGGTGAAGCTTCTAAAATTTATAAAGTACCTAAAGCAACATTATTTTATAAGCTAAAAAGTAAACACTGTAAATCAGTAGGGCGCCCTATTGCCCTTAGCATTGATGAGGAACTTTGTTTTGAAAATCACTTACTTTATTTAAGTGACAAAGGTATACCAATCGGAATTAATGATTTTCAAAGTATTGTCAAAATCTATCTGGATGATAGTGGAAAAAATATACAACAGTTTAAAGATAACCAACCAGGTTGGGAGTGGTGTAAACTTTATCTTGACAGGCATCTATCATTAAAAGAAAAATCTCATTGTATTTCAAGGAAACGTGCACAGATTAATTATTGTCAAATAAAATTATTTTTTCGAAATCTAGAGAAGGAATTAAATGGAGTAACGCCAGATAACATTTATAATATGGATGAAACAGGGTTTCATGATGACCCTGGAAAAAAAAAACTTATTTTTCGTCGATCCTCTCGCCATCTAGAACTTATAAGAAACACAACAAAAACTTGTTACACTGTTGTTTTTTGTGGAAATGCTTCAGGAAAACTAATTCCACCATTTTTCATTGTTGAAGGAAAACACAGTTGGTCTGACTGGCTTTTCAACGCATTAGAAGGATCAAGAATGGCAACTTCTTGCAGTGGCTGGATGGAAATTCAAATATTTGAAGAGTGGCTGTTAAATCACTTTGTTCCAAATATTATAAATAAGGAAGGTAAAAAAAATTCTGATTTGCGATAATTTAAGTGCTCATATATCTTTAAAAGCCTTAAATATATGTGAAAAACATAATATAACTTTTATATGTTTGGTACCCAATTCCACACACCTTTTACAACCTTTAGATGTTGGATATTTCTCAAGTTTAAAAGCTAATTGGAGGTCAGTTCTTAATCAATGGCGTAAAACATCCAGAGGAAAAAAGGTTAATAACCTGCCAAAAAATTTGTTTAAGCAGCTCATTAAATCTACTCTTAATGTTGGTAAAGAAAATCTAGAACATAATCTCCAAGCAGGATTTAAAGGGATCCCAAACTGCCAACACATGTTGTGTTCATATTAAAAATAATGTTAAAAAAAAAGGTTTGAACCAAATTTTTTTGAATAAAAATAAATAATGAATGCATACCGTGAAAAACAAATGTTGTTGTTTTTGCCGAAGCTCGTCTTCTCCATTTTTTTTAACTACTCGGAGTCTTCAAATTATTCGTCGCAATCTACAGACTTTGGCAATTCCTTTGAAGCGCGTTTAATTCATAAAAGTTTTAGTATTTTGACGTCACGGTAGACTTTTAACCAAAGAAACTCTAGAAATATTTTTATTTTTAGTCGAAGTTTTTTTGATTATTTGTTTAGTTTTTTTTTTTTTTCTACTTTTATTATTTAAAAAGATATTAAAAACCTTAAATATTTTACGCTGGTTCGTTGCTATAAATTGTTATTGCGCCATATATTTAATGTTTATAAATTATGAATATTTATTATCTCAAAAATTGTTTTACATTAATTACCCGTATAAAATTAGTAACAGCTTTTTTATTTGGTTAGACGATATTTCGTTTCAATTTGCTTTGCATGAAGTTCGGAAAGTCAAACGAAAAAAATTAGTTTGAATAATCACGTCGAAATATATTTAAAACAAATTATTTTAATGACGGGGTTCTAAAGTTTTTTATAACAAATGTAGGTAAAAAAATAAATAATTAAATAAAAAGTTCAGTATTAAACACCATTTCTTTATTCTATTGCAACTGCAAATATTGAATTATTACCTTGAACTAAGTTTACTTATTATTTAGAATAACTAAGCAATAAAAATAAAATGTCCCTAAAATTATGCGAGATTGTGTTGTTTATTAGATAATTGTTGT